GATCAAACAGTCATTGGTTATTCTTGCTACTAGATAAATCATCCAGATTTATAGCTAACTTTCAGTCAGTAAAGAAGTGGAAGACCTTCTTTTTTATATTCAACGGCCTGTAATTCTAAACGACATTAAATCTTAAGGAGAATGATAAAGGTATCGAAGAGCGAGAACACCCAAGTCGCCGAGTTATCTGCTACGAACTGAGGGGTGCGATTATCCTAGAACATAATATAGAAAGCAGCGTGAGAAGGAACGGGTTTTCCCGGTCGGAATTAGCTCAAGAGAGAGATTAATATAAAGAGAGTAGCAGCGGGAGGAAACCGGTCTATCCATCGCTCCGATTAGTGATGGGTACGTGCCTACTCCTCCTCCTCTTTATCTATATTAGCTCCGTCCTCCCTTATTCCACAATTATTACTCCTGATTGCCTTTCATAATTTCCACTAAGATCTCAACATGAGCTAGCCACGAACCTGAGGTTATTGAGGGGATATTTTTAACTCCTTGATAGGAAATTCGTAAATCATTAATGCCGCAAACGGCACGTGTTCTTTTACATGTGAGGTTTGCCAATATAATCCAAGAGACAACATTTGGGTAATACATAATCCTTCTTCAGAAGAAGAATGTTTCTTATAATCGAAGATCGTATTTTAATTCAGTAAACAACATAAACTGCAAAAACCCAACTATAATCTCTGGTAGTTGAACATGAATGATAACAACTTCTTGTAAAATCAAAATGTTGTTCTTATTGAAAATCTAAGTTTCAAATAATGTTTCCTAATTACCATAATCGTTGTCGAAACTTTAAATACAAATATGACGATGCTTATAAATGTTTTATTTAACATGTTTGTCTTTTAGGCAAGTTTACATGATACGAAAAATCGTACGTCTTGTCGGATACAACTATTCCATCCTTTTGGATTTTTAATTTGTTTTCTCTAATATATATCTGTTCTAAAAACATAAACAAATAACTGAAGAAACGTTTTTGCTTAACGGTAATTACCCTCATAAAATTCTGCCAAAAAAGAAAACGTACTACTATGTTGAGCGAAGCTCTCGAATGACTATAATAATAAAATATATTACTCGAATATATAAGGAAAATGTTTTATATAAGATTCGACGATTAGATAGATTATTTGATGAACACCACATCCTCTTGTTTACTACTAGAATTGGTAAAACTATCCATTCAGACATTCAGAGGTGCACAGAAGGAGGTTTGATAGCGCAACTTACGCCATCAAAATTTTTGACGACACATTTCGACGGAGTTATGAATTACGGGATGAAAAGTTTCATACTATGGAACAAAGGAAAAACATGGAACAGACTGCAGCAAGTGTGATTGTATATGATCTACTATTCTTCTAATTCTCCCTTGCTTATCTGTTTTAATGAAAAGATAAGTAATAAAATATCTGGAGAGTGATGGGAAGGATTTTTGTGAATGAATTTTTGTGAAGGAGGAATGGGCATCCATACTGAAATCTGTATAAGGAAATCCATTTCTCCACACAAAAAACATCCCTCAAAAGAAACAACTGCATGATCCATGATGATCAATGGAAAAATATGAGGTTTTGGCAGACTATTAAAATATCTAATCCGTGGTACAGACCCCTTTTCATCAAATTATTAACATCCGGCTGAAACATTGTAAATAACTTCATCTCATCATAACCTACTACTATTTTATTTACGAAAACTTTTGGAATTGGGGCGTTTTCAATCTCGAGGTCAGCAAACTTTGTCTATTTAATTAGGTAATAAAAACTCGTAAATTTTCATTCCTATTTAATTGTGAGATAACTTGATCACAAAGTGGCCTTATAAAATAGTGGCCTATATAACCTCATTGTTTTGACAGACAATTTGGGGGAGTAGGTCACGCCAAACGCTCAATATTTTTGATTTGTTTTCTCGACTTTGTGCTCAAGTTATTTTACGATTAAAGAGGAAAGCAAAGGGGTATTTACATGTTTTTAGTATCTAATTAAATAGACAAAGTTTGCCGACCTCCTGATTGAAAACATCCCAAATTCGAGAATTTACCTAAATAAAATATTTGTAGGTTACTATGAGATGAAGCTATTTACGAAGTTTCAGTCGGATGTTAACAATATGATAAAAAGGAGTCTTTTCCACGAACTTATCTGAATTATGCATTTATGCTACGTTCATAAGTAATTGTTATTACTTATTAAGATGATTATAACATACTTAAGGACCGAAATTTCATTAGCAACTACAACAATAACAATATAATTGCGTCTAAAGAATGTCAAGTATAACTGTATTAATTTTAAGGAAGAATAATTTTCTAATTAGCAGAAATGACGGAGTTGTCAGGAAAAGATGGGCACGATTTTGGTTATGTTGTGTTAGCATTACTAATATCATATCACTTGGACTCCACTCAGAAACATATAAACATATGTATTGATATGGGAAATTTGTTCGTTATCATAAACATGTTGTTGATCACGGGTATGCAAATGCAGCAGTTCCTTAATCCTTGAGACTTTCTTCTGAAGTACCAAATTATTAAAATGTATATAAAGGCCAACAAAGATACCAGCCTATTAAAAGTTACTTTTTTTTAGTAGCGCCAGCCTTCTTCCAAGCAAGCGGTACATTCCACCCAATAATCCTCAAGAATCGAGAACTTTCCAAACTGCAAATGCGACACAGTCTAAAGCGATTTCATCAAATGGATGGTCCAGCGGTTAGAGGCACGATCAATCAGAGAGGATCTGATTGGTTTTGACAGATGCAGGACTATGCTAATACAACCATAGCGTACGTTTGTTCCGCCTGTTGGGCTAATAGATCATGCCTGACACTGGATCAGATACCGGCTTTAATTCTTATTTCTAATGAATACATTAATCTTCAGGGTGGTTCCAATGCTATACTAACAAAGATAATGCCTTAAGATATGTAGCAAATTTTATATTTGTATTGGATATTAATATGGAAACCTGATTCGACAATATTAAAAAGAAGTGACAAAAGGATTCATAAAATCATTTAAATATAACAGCCGTAGGTATAGGACATTTATATGTTCTGGGCATAACTAAAATACTTAGGTTTTATCTAAAATATAAGGCAGTTACAGTATACATAAATTAAGGATTTAAGGATTATTGCGAATCCTTCAATACAAGCATTTAACAGAAATGGTTGGAATGAAAAATCATTACGATTGCTTGTAGGTATAAGTTGTAAATTGCAAAAGGCGGAGAACGTCTCCTCACTATATCATTTTATTTTGTTATATTTAGATTTCTTTATAAAACGGATCCTGATTCCAAATTTATTAAATAGAAATTTTTTTTATATACTATATTTGCAACTGCATCCAAACGCATCTAGCAAATGTGCTGTCGTTCATTATGTCTGTTATTTCAAGAAAAAAAATTCATATTGTGAGCAGATCCCAAGGCCATTGCCTTTTTAATCTTCTTTGAGGCTCCCCTGGTAGCAGGGAGGAAGAAAGAGAGAGGACAAGTGGATTGGGGGTTGTTAATAGTTGAAGTGAGGAATGTTGTGTATTTGTTATGTATGTAGGTTTTTACTGTTGGAATGTTCATATCGCTGTGTATGGTGTGATTTGAAATATACCAGGGTGCATTTACGATTTTTCGAAGAATTTTGGACTGTGCAAAGTTTGTAATTTGTTTGTGTGGACGTGATTTGCGGAACCCCAAAGTCCTGCTTAAGAAAATAATAATAATTTTCGAAAACCATTTAAACTCAGAATAATATATTAAACATATAATCATAAAACAAGAACAGATCAAATTTCCGTTTCATTCTTGACTACGAAATCTCAGTTTAGTAATCTGTATGTTAATGCAAATAAATCTAAATTTACCATCATAAACATTTTAATATAAATGAGTAAAACTACACGACTGTGAAGTTAGATTTTTCAAACTATATCATAAATATGTTTGAAAACATCGATGGTATAACATCTCTAAGTCTGATATCTTCTTGAAAAGATTTTAGACCCATGCAAGTGGTCTCCAGAAGAAAGTTGCACTGCGCAAGTTGAGCCATCAAAAAGTCCGCGTTGAGTTGAGCCATCATTTTTGTATCATTGTTGCGAATCCTTCAATACTACCATTTAACAGAAATCGTATTAACTTAATAAATATTGCTTGATATTGCCCGGGATTCAAACAGTTTTTTTTTCATCGATTTATGGCAAACAGTGATTAAATATCATTTTATAAAATTAAATGACCTGATGAATTGATGGACTTTCTCTCTGTGATATCAGGTAAGATAGGTACTCTGCGTACCTATTTTAATCATATGAAAGACTTATTTTGGTGCTATTAATGAGTTTTTGCATCGATAAATACGACCATTTCCGCAAACATTTACTAAGTGATTTTTTTAAGTGAAAACTTCTTTAGGCGCGTTTTTTTATTTTTATTTTTTGGAGAATGAATTAGATTGGGTCGTAAGATTTCCGATGTGTGACGCTCGGGAAAGTCGGCAGGAGTCAACTAATTGAAATGTTTTTGAATATGGATTAAAATATCTCAGAAACTAAAAATCGGACCTGCATACTGTAAGCGAGGGAATTGCTCATCATTTCATCCTCTCTGTAATGGGCTATTATTAAAACTGTACCTTAACGCGACCCCATGTTAGAGAGGCTAAAAGGGAAAAGTAGTGTCGAAAACCAAATGATAACGAGTTTTCTTAAAGATATGGATTAAAATACCTAAGAAACTAACAATCGGACCTGCATACTGTGAGCGAGAGAATGTTCAGCATTTCATTCTATTCATAATGAGCAATTATTTGTAACTTATATTTCATATTATTAATATCGCCTTGTTGGTTTTTTCACTTCTATCGTTTAGTCTAAAACACACACCTTAGTTTTTGATATATTTTTTTCTATATTAATCTGTTCTCTTTTATATATTTTCCTATAATAATTTAATATGCAAGAAGATGCTTACCTTGTTGTGGGGCTTAGGCTCGCGGTTGAGTATTTCCAAAGGAGTCCGTATACTCGGCTTCCCGAGGTACCATTCTTCCTGCGGACTGTAGTCAGAAAGCACTTCCAGTAGTCGTTTAACATTGACGTAATTGTCGTCGTCGAAGTGACAAAACCACCTAGAATAAAATAAATAATTAATATCCATTAACCTTACTAACAAAATTAATTCGAATTTATTAGTCAGAAAAAAAGTCGACGTGTTTGTATGAACGGAGGCAGTGATTGTGGCTGATGACATATACCCTATCGGCCATTACTTATTTTATTCAGGTCGCTCCCTTCCAGCAGTGAATAATTGAATCGTTTGAGGAGAGTGAATCATTTTCATTCGTATGAGTGGCTTTGCTATTCTCGAGTTCATACTCGAATACAAAAATAAATCCCAAAAGGTTTGCACCGGGTTCGTGGACTATAACTGATTGGATGGAAATAAGTTTGCTCAATATACGCTAACAGGATATAAGATAAAATGTTTGACGAAAGTGAGTAATGGATGAAACGCCAAACCGAGACTGGTTGATTATGCGACGCAAAATCAAGGCGTGGCAACATAAAGGTTTGTTTTTTGGAATAGGCCTTTATATTATTTAAGCTGTCAACTTGCCCCGGATCCAGTTCTACATAATACCCGAAGCTTGGAGGAGCTCCGGTGAGGAAGCTATTAGAGCGAGGCTGATATTAAATAAATGAGGGCCGGGGCGGGAACTGGTTTCGAACCCAAGCCCCTTAATTAGCTGCCCACTTAGCTCGCTCCGATACCTTGAGCAATAATCTATTTAATCTTTTCATATAGCGTTCCCAAGGCGATGAGTTGTCTGGAAACCTCAGCTTCGTTTCAACACAACGTTCCCCAATGCAAGGTTCAATAATCTCTGCAGAGTAATTAAATCTTACGCTACTTAGTAATGGCTATTCCGAAAAGGATCAAAACTTTAGATATGGACACGTCTTTATTCATAAGGCATATTTCAACGAGATCAATTCCATGTAAAGAAGAAAACTGTCAATAGAGACCAAATATTATAATTAGCAGATTCGTGTAAAATTCTAATTATTTCAAAACAATGTTTGTAATAAACTAGCCGGTGTTTCGTTTATACAATCTAGTGATCGATTGGTTAAACGAAATTTAAACCGATTTCTTTCCTTTTATTAAAAGCCAGGCTTTTACTTAAAAGTAAAGAAATCAAAGTCAAAAGCCAGGCTTTTAATAAAATAATTTTGTCACTATTCAGCCTATTTATGACCGCCACCTTGGACCATCTCCTTCCTTTCTTGGTCAAAGGTTGTGCAAGGAGGCGATTTTACCGAGTTCACACTCAACCGCCAGGTTTTCTCCCTTAAATAATTATTTAATTAAGGGTGCCCACTTAATAGAGGCTGGGTGTGCCCAAGGAGAGTTTTCCGATCCGGGGCCATGCTTGAGCCGTGATTCGAACCTGGGGCCTTAAGCATTAGAAGCCCAGTACCCAACCACTGAGCTACCCCACTCCCTAAATATTGAGACCACGCTAGGGTCGATCCATGGCTGATGAAAAATCACTAGTTCCCAGCCGGATTCGAACTTGAGACCTTCAGCTCTGTCATTGCTCAACCACTGAGCTACTATGAGATAACCACTGAGATACTCCCCTTACATTTTTATAAATATCAAAAACTATATAAAAATTGCTAATTACTGTAATATATCTGTGCCCTGGAGGTAACTAAGAAACAAATTTTAGTAGATCTAATGAAAAATAGGGTCCCCTGAACAAATAAAACAAAATGGACAGTGTTCTTTTCCTGCGAGGTACAGATACAATTTATTATCAAGTTCTGATCTCCAGACATCTGAATTGACGAAATAATGTCTATAATTGTCAATTATGGGAGTATAGAACAATAGGTCAGTAACTCGAACATTTTTTTTTTTTTACAGTGAAACTCTACAACATGAGAACAAAACGATATAGTATTAGAAAAAGTCTTGGTAATCGAGAATCAAACGGGATAACGGGTCAGACTAGTTTTTCTCAAATTCGGGCTCAGATCATGTTTCTTAATCCCGCAGTCGTTTTTATCTCAGTTCAGCTCCAATTTAGTATGTTTTGGAAGGATTTCAATACAAACTAAATTGGTAACTAAGAAACAATTTATCAATCTGAATAAAACTTATAGGATTAGTGTGAGCGATCGGATAGATATAAATATTAAAAATAATAAATAATAGATGTCCACTACGGGCGGATCTACGGGGGGGGGACTTCATCCCCCCCTCCCAAAATGGTGAAATATAACCATGTTTTATGGAAAAAAATTATCTCTTAAAGTATTATTGTTAGTGTAATTTAAAAGTACTGTAGGAATCACTATAACGCCATTTCATATAAGGTAGTTAGTTTCTTTATTTTTTTCCAAAATAATTATCGTTATTTTTATGAAAAAAAAGCTTTCGGGCTGAAGCCCCCCCTCCCCCAAAATTAAATCCTGGACCTGCTAGTGATGTCCACTTTTGCTGGTTAATTCCTCACTCTGCGTGCTAAGATGGTGCATATAACGCTAGTATCACCGTTTATACATTGCGCATAAACGGACATACTCAAAAACTTTCTGGCTAAATGAACCAAAAAAAAAAAAGAATTTTATATTTCTTTGTGGTGAGTATCATAATTAGTGTTGGTTTGTGTTCGAATTGCAATTTGAATATAAGTATTTCTTAAAAACGCTTTTTTTTTTCAAAATAGTTGTGCTTGTTTTGGAGAGGATTTGAAAAATGTTGTGAGGTTAAGTACCCGAGGGTAGGGATAAAGTTAGTATTTTTTAGGAACAACTGTAGGGGAGGATGCGCACAAGAACACGCTTTACATTAGGGCGCAGACAACCTACGCTTTTGGTATGCTTATCCAGACTCCTGAGTGTTTATCTGTCTGTTTAAGCTAATCGATCTTGTCATGTTTTCCTTATTCGTTTTGAAAACTTAAATATGTCCAATATACTTTAATAAGTAATTTCAAGTTTTAAGCCCCAATATCCTAAAGTAAAAGGTCTAGTCGGTTAGAAATCGATCAGAAAGCAAACAAAGGCGACCGTAAGCAAACAATGACAAAAAGCAAGCGATAACCCTCAAGCGAACGCCAAGTGGTCTACCCCATCTATTATCTTCGCCGCTCCACTTTTTGTTCCCTTCTATTACCTTTCTTGTGGGGAGGGTGCGGCGGCTCCAAGGGCAGCCGGAAATTTTATATTATTAAACTTATTCAATCAAAAGTTTCTTGGCTATCGTATTTATAATACAAATACTAAGAACCAGGTCACGGAATAATGGCGTCTTGGATTTAATCTAACCTAACCTACTGAAAAATTACCAAAACTGAAATTTATATAACCGTTACCCGTTAATATATGGATTATTTTTAAAATAAGGTATTCAATATTAGCTTGTTTCGTCAAATAGTTGATGTTGGAAGTCTCAATCAGTGCAGTACACAAAATAAATTATATATTTCAAACTGTATCGTAACGCCTTCATAAGGCGTTTTAGGTCTTCACAAGAGCTAAACAAAGATAAGATAACAAAGTTATGATAGTAAGAAAGAGAAAGAAAACTTATACAAAATAAAAAGATACGAATGATAAGAAAAATAGTAAGTAATCAACGAAGTCATATTTTTCATTTTATTTAATTTTTGTGTTTTTCACTAACTACAAGCACAAACCAACTTCTCTTACTTTACTTATTTACTATATTATTACAGTAAATATTTGTTATAATAAAGAGCACAATACCTTTTTTTATTATTTATTTTTTAATCAGATTATGCCCGCTTAGCAAAAAGGATGGGAGTTTTATTTCGATTTAAGAACCAATAATATTTTTAATAGATACTCATAAATACTTATAATATATAATATATTATTTTTTTTTTATTTTCTTAGTTCTGTCAGATTTCTGGAATAGCATCCGCATTCCGGACAAATTATTATATTATAATGACTACATAGCGACCACCTTTAGCTTCTCTTATTTCACTCAGGAGTACAGGAATCCTAATCCATTATACGACCAGCAGTTGGCAAATTTGATAAATGATTTTTGATTTTAATAGGGAACCTTTAAGAATGAAAAACATTTATAATAGCAATGGCCGCAGAAAAGTAACACTGTGGTAACAGGAGGATATTATTTGGTTGAAAAATGTATAAACAAAAATATATAAAAAATTATCTAGCGAAGGCATATACATCAAATTTTTGAAATCGCAGTTTTCAAAGCAGCTCTGTCGCTCAAAAGTTGTTTACCTAAAATCTTTGACATATATACTTCAGAGAGATCAGGACATACATTAGAGTGAAGTTTTCAGTTGTAAACTGAAGACTAAACGTTTCCTCAAAAATATAAGTCGTTTCAGAAGAAAAAAATCTCATTGTTATTCCACAGATTATCTTAAATGTTACAATTGAACTGAACTAGAATAATTTATAAATATTAAAATATTGTAGTATGTGCTACGCCGAGCTGTACAAAAATACAATATATACTACAAAAAATGGCATATTACGCCATAACATGTTTTTTCGGTATTAAGATAATTATTAATCTGCAAAATTTTGTCTATCCGTAAACATAATTTGCAGTCACTATTTACAAAGCGCAGAGACAAACGTTTAAGTATATCGGAGTCAATATAAGAAAATAATGTTTTTTTCTCAGGGACAACTATAGGTAGTCATATCTAAATTAGGTTTAAGAGAAAACTATATATACTTATAATACAGGAGAAAAGAAGTAAATACATCGTTTGCGCTGAAGTACTGTAAATATTCTATAAATAGTTTAAAACATAATGTTCGAAACTAACTTTTAGGTATATAAGTATCAAATCGAAGATACTTTCAGTTGACATTTTGATCTTTTTTTTTTTTTTGTGATTATTCCTTTTGTTTTTTCAATTCCAACATTCTGAAGCAAGTTAATCAGACCCACTTGGCCTGTATTCTAAATTTTCATGGAATAGAAATCTATAATACAAATTTAACACAAGCGAGACCGTGTGGACAGCTAGTAACTTATACCTAAATTTATAAAATTAATAATAAATAACGGTAGTGGTCCCGCGACCTTTTGTATATATTGGAGTTCTGGCAATGGCCAGATTCTCCACTCAATACATGAGTGTATGTGGCTAAAGTGCTCTCGATCAATCTCCGCTGGCTTTCGTAAAAATGATACGGTTGAGAGGGTAGCGCAATGTTCTCCTGGAGTCCAGCTTTTCCATACTTATATAGTACTTCCATAGAAGGGACAAGCCTGCCACGGAGTTTCATCGCCTGATTGTAAATAGTGCATATAGGTATGCATGTGTTTTTTGCTTTGTTTTAATTTTCTTATTTTTAAGCTATTTTATTTTATTTATTGTATATACTTTTTGATTATTATTTGTTGTTATTTTGCTTCTGTTAATTTGATATTTTTTTGTATATATAGTGTGAATGTTATCCTACCTCACTATAACTAATGTCCAAGTGACAGATTGTTGTAATACTCAATAAATAAATAAATTAAAAAAAAAAAAGTATTTAATTAAATTTTAAAAATATAAAAACTGAAAGGATCTACTATTTAATGTTGATTCTTTTCACAAATATACAGGTCAGCATAGAACTCAAGTCTTGCTAACTTGTCTTAAAAACTTGTTCACTGACAACGAATATGCCTTTTAAATCAATTTCAGTCACGAACTATCGAAAGAAAGAGATCCAGTGAGACTGTTTTACAAGCTCAACGAAAGTTGTTAAAAAGGACATTTCTACTCATAACACAAAGAGGAAGGGAGGCTAGCTTAAGAACACATCTGCTGGACAAAGAAAGACTGGGAATGAGCTCGTTTCCCATGACAGCTAGTTCATATTCTCTAGGACTTGGTGTTTAATGGAGTGATGGAAACATCAACCGCGTCTATAGAGCAAAAACCTGAAATGTCTCGTAGTCAGTCATCTCAGGACAATATCTGTCAACTGGAATCGTATAGAATCCTGCGTTATGTGATTCAAGAAATATGCAAACAAGAACTAACGCATATTTATAAATGCTGTAAGTTTAAAACATATACTTAAAATAAAATTATATAATAATATTTAAAAAATGTAGAAGTAGGAATTTGGTGATTTATATGAGGATGGTCAAAGTTTCCATTTAAACATAAAAAACTGCAGCATCCTTTAATAATATCCCACTTACACCTCTTGAACAAATCCGATACCTAGGACTCCATCTGGACAAACATCTAACTTGGAATCCTCATACCAGACTGAAACGACAAGAAACTACCCGCCCGTTTCCGACTACCTTTCAATTAATTACAAAAAACTTATATACATAACCATAATATGACCTATTTGGACTTACGGAGTTGAGCTTTGGGGCTCCACTAAACCATGGAATTCCTCTCGTATCCAATCTTTACAATCCAAAATCTTTCGTAAAACTCTTAATGCTCCTTACTTTGTAACAAATAAAATAACCCATAATGACCTGAATGTTCCATATGATTCCGATTTGGCCCAATCCAGATAACTATCCTTCCAAAATAAAATTAAGAACCATCCTAATCCTTTAGTTTCTAACCTTGCTTCAACCTCGATTCCTGATAACCCTCCTAGGCGTCTAAAAAGAAGATGGCCTCATGATCTCCTAATTTAGAAACTTTATTAGAGTGCTACCAATGGGTAGATTCTCTTCAAGCCTTGTCATGTCATGTATTTCTCTGTATCACATTTGCTGAATGTATATTAATTGTACAGTTGTAAATTTCATAAATAATAATAATTTTAAAAAATCTTATAGACCGTGGTATAGACACCTTTTAATTAAACTATTAACATCCGCCTGAAACTTTTTCAACAGCTTCAGCTCATCGTAACCTACAACTATTTTATTTACGAAAATTCTCGGAATTGGGACGTTTTCAATCTGGAGATCGGCAAACTTTGTCTATTTATCCCGGTACTAAAAATTCGTAAATGCCCATTTGCTTTCCACTTCAATCGTAAGATAATTTGAGCACAAAATCGCGAAAAAAAGGTGACCTTCAAAAATATCGAGGCGTTGGGCGTGACTAACACCCCTTAAGTGTCAAAATAGCGAGGATATATCGGCCAAACGGCCCAATACTTTTGTAGGCCACCTTTTTTCTCGATTTTGTAATCAAATTATCTTACGATCAAAGTGGGTATTTATGAGTTTTTAGTCCTAATTAAATAGAAAAAGTTTGCCGATTTCCAGATTGAAAACGCCCCAATTCCAAGAGGTTTTGTTAATAAAATAGTTTTAGGTTACGATGAGATCAAGCTATTAACAATTTGATAAAAATGGGTCTGTACCACGGAATATTATTTTGTCAAGAGCGAAAATGTGGAGGATATATTTAAAATTATTCCAAAAAACATAAAAAAACATTGTTTTTCTCACTTATATGTTTTTATTCAATTAGAAGTCGCTTCACATAGACCAAACTGCAGAAAACACAAAATATATAGGAATAAATACTAATAATACAGGTGATATTAACTTTAAAAAATGGTTAATGCAGTAATGTTTCTTTAATTATGTATTTTAAAACGTATTTTTATATCCATAAAAAGTATTGCTACATAAAATCGAAATACTGTAAAACTGACGCTGCTTTCTGTCAAGTCTCTATTTTGTTTTTAATATTGCCCTTACTATTGATGAGTATTGAGTGAGATCAATACAGTTGAAGAACCATTCAATATTTTTTCTCTCACATATATTTCGGATTTCCTACATGTGAATTATATGTACATGGTCATGGCAGTTGAAACATACTATTAAATAAATTTTAAAAAATAATAGAAGATCATACAGCATATAGAAGGTTTAGTAGCTGCAACAGCAAGCAATTTATACTAAAAATAGTAATTATTTTTTGCAATATTTTCGCTAAAAAGACAAATATTCAGCCTAGACAAAATGGAAGATCCCTCTTCTTCTGTGAGCTTCATGGGCTCCAGGAAATGCACAAGAAGAAAATAACGTTCTGAGAAGTGATGATGCTTCTGCGTAAATGTCTCCAGAAGCAACAAACGTCTTTTCAAACATTTACTTGCTGTGAGCTTAACAATATTTTTCTGAGATAGTTATTTGCGAACCAGGATTCGCACAATCTTCGAACGATTTTAAACCAACTAGCAGAAGAGGTAAAAAACAGAACCAACTGCAAGATATAGCAACCAGGATTAAGTGTGATAGTATGTTGTACATAAATCAAAGATACTTTATGTTGTCATCATTATCATATTTTTTAGTGATTGTTTATTTGTTATTGTTATTCCACTTTCAAATATCGAAAGTAATTTGTTAATTCAGATGCACTTGGCCTGTATTCTAAATTTTCACGTAACAGAAATCTATAATCCAAATTTAACACAGATGAAACCGCAAAGAGAGTTGATAACTTATACCTAAATTATAAATAAAAAAATAAATTATTTAAATAATTATAAATAAATTTTTTAATTAAAATATCAACTAAGAAAACCTAAAACCTAAAAGGATCGACTTTACAATTTTGTATTTTTTTCATAAATTACAAAAATATCTGTACCCATTGTGTAGAAGTGGTTAACTCGAAAAATAAATAAACTGGACTTATACCTCCAATATCCAAAACCCGACATTTATCAATCTCCAACAAACAAGTCTTCATATTTCGATAATTTAATTATACTTTTGTTTAATCATCAATTTTCTGAAATCGTAGACAGTATCAGTTAAGTTAGGTCAGGAAAAGACAATATCAGTTAACATAGGTCCTTTCATACTTTAGAAGAAGTGTAGCAATGCTTAATAGATACTTAAGCTTAATAGATACTTATTAATAAATAGCAATCCTAAGTAAAATCCATAAATGTTTTTTCGGTATTCATTATTATAAATTTCAATAAAATAGGAAAACAACTTATACATATGTTTATGTGCATACATAAAAAATTAATAAAGAAGCATATATACATAAATTAATAAAGGGGCGCCTACAATCTTAAATGAACCAAACCTTGGTCATTAAAATAAAGCGGTTACAAATTTCTTAGTCAGCTCTGGCCGTGCACTCAACAAACTGGTTTTAAAACTTATAAATAATCTTTTTTTGTTGACATTTTGGAATCTGGTTCTCATGAACATGTATACTAATGAAAAGTAAATGAGTCGCTACCAGGATTAAAAAAAAAAAAAGGGAACCGGTTGAATTAATTAAGTATATTTATATTCAGGAAGCGAGAGCCCAAGTGAACGGATATGTCGACTCCAACATATATATTTCTTCTCCTGTTAAAATGAATACTTTAAAATACATGAAAACATTAAAATAAGGGTATCATATCACGAGTTTAGCTGCAGATTAAGATCCACTATTAGGTTAATTATCTAAATTACTTGGTTCCCGCCCACACTCGAAAACATTTAGATTCGCTACTGTTTCTTTACCGAAGTGAAATGTGAACGTTTAGGTCCATAAGCAAAGGGCAACCCTTTTCATTCAAAAGAAAAATAATATTGACATATGACAAAAAAAAAAAAAATTATCCACCAAGTAGTTAGTCAAACTTCCTCAAGATATCTATTGGTTACCTATTGAAATATAATTACATTTCAAGATCTATGATCTGTCGTTCGGGAATAATTTCTACAGCCGAAGCGGTTTTTGGATCGTAGTCTTGTCAAGGAAGAAGGCATGCTTAAGCTAAAGAAATAGCCGAATTCGATAAAATCTATATTGGATCATGAAATATATATAAAGGTACGTTTAGACATTTCACAAACTATGGCACAAACAAATATATAAGCGGTCACTATGCTTGTATTTTTTTATCCTGTTTTTGATATTTTCCATCTGCTGCCGGTATCAAGAGAAATAAAATAAATAGTTTATAATGTCGTTATTAATTAAGTTAGATAATTGTGTTTCCGATAGTTTGTGAAATGTCTAAATCCACCTTTTGGTATTCACGAAAATCACACATTCACCGAAAATTTCACCAATCGCTTTAAAGACATCAGGGCGTTATACTGGCCGTATGGATTCGACAACAAAATACTGTTTAAATTTAATTTTGAAATACAGTCTACAATTTGATAATATGCATAATTATAATATAAACATAAACACCTATCATATATGCAACCAATTCCTACATTTTATGTTCATTATATTTTGAATAATTAGGTAGATTAATTTTAATGGTTAAGTGTAATTTGGTGAGATTGATACAAGACTATTTGTACACTATTTCCTCCAAATTTGAGCCAAACATACGAGCCGTTTTTGAAAAATAAGCATATATATAATATAAGCATCAAGGGGGGATATGTTAGCGCATCCGTAAAGCATAGAGCATTTTTTTTATAGTATTAGATAAAATTGTTATATATAATTTATATATAAATTATACCTCCTTGATTTGTTTTTCATATATTTCATTGTGCATCAATCCACCTCCAATTGTGCATCAAATCGAACGTGTGATTTATGAGATAGAGGCGTATCATCGAAAATACGTTTTAGCATATGTAGGAGAAAGTAGTAGATGGAATTCGATAAAACAGATAGAAATAGATTTTTTATTACTATCTCCAACCTACCATAAAATTGGAGCAATGTCGAACGAGCCATTTTTAAAATATTGTTATGTCCAAGACACGGGCGGATCTACGGGGGGAGAGCTTTCGGGCTGAAGCCCCCCCCCAAAAAAAATGGTAAAATATAACCATGTTTTCTGGAAAAAAAAAATTTAAAAATACCTCTTAAAATACTATTGTTCGTGTAAGTACATTTAAAACGACTTAAGGAATCCCTTAAACACCATTTCATATAGGTAGTTAGTTTCTTTCTGTTTTTTCAAAGTAATTATCGTTATTTTTATGAAAAAAAAAAAGATTTCGGGATGAAGCCCTCTCCCCAAAATTAAATCCTGGATCCGCTTGCGGTCCAAGAAGATGTAAACATGCATAAACAAAAACGGTGAATGGAATAACATTGATACGGCAACATTTATGTACTATTTCATACAATATCGGTAGCAAGTGATATGCTTGACACGGAACCAACTTTGTTCCTTGACGTATAAACCGTAAAACGGGAGTGGATATTTTCGATTCAACTAGCACAAAAATTACTTTACCCTGCTGCACGAATAAAAAGCTTTTCTACCTACGAGAAGGTAGTGTGGAGGCAATCAGAGCTGAATGGCATGATCGTCGATAAAGTTAATGCTATAACGGAGAATGAAATAGGATTTTAATGTTTTGGCTTGGGGAGGATGATGAACCATCACTAAAGCAGTGATCATCGCAGAAACAACGACTAGACGCTCGAAAGGTGGACTGGGAATTAAGAAGGAGGATAGCATGAAATTATATTTCGTAAACAAGGTTTTGAGCAGGGATTAGGGTAGAGTTGTAAGAAGGGAGCTGTGTAACGTCTTGGAATCTCTGAATTCGTTTAACAGACATTATAATTAACGGTAATAATGAATGCCATATGAATTCAAGTTTATCATTCGATAACCAAAACGACAGGATGACAACCCTACAAATGAAAGAAAAATAAACAAAACTAAGCAATTATAAAAAAGAATCAGTTCTGTCCCGGTCACTTTCAAACATGACTCTTTAACAAATTATTAAACAGTCAAAAGTAATTGATACATTGATCAACTAAAAACTGGAATAGTACATAATAGTTCCATTTAAACTTTTTTTTTAGTATCATATAATACCATATAATATAGATACAGCCACAGGCGGGAGGGGGGAGGCTTTTGGGCTGAAGCCCCCCCCCCCCCCTCCAAAATGGTAAAATATAACACAGTTTTACAGAAAAAAGTATTAAAAACTATCTCTTAAAGTATTCTAGTTTGTTCAATTAAATTTAATAGGGCTTCAAGAATCACTTAAACACCATTTCATGTAGGTAGTTAATTTCTTTCTTTTTATTTTCATATTAACTATCGTTATACATATATATATATGAAAAAAAAAAGTTTTCGGGCTGAAGCCCCCCTCCCTCCCAAAATTAAATCCTGGATTCGCTAGTGCAGCCTTACATATTGATTGATTTATACTTAATTGATTAATGCCAGCGTTGTTTAATATTCAGGGATTTTTATACGATTGGAAAATATGTTTTGGCTTTCCTATCATCACAAGGTAAGATAAACTAGTTTAATAGGGTATAATTTATCCTTAAATTATATCCTGGATCCACTAGTGGATACAGGAAATGTGTATGCGGCAAACCTCTATAGTAACACCAAAGATGAAGCACACCAAGGTAGATACAATAACGAAACCATAGTCCTTTAAAGACTAAATTTATAGGGTACATAGACATTTTACATTTCCTTACTATATGAAAAATGAGATGCCAAAAAAAAAAAAAAATGAAATTTCATGGAGAAGTGATCAACCACAATTGAAGAGGAGTACTTGGCCCAATTAAAAAACTTTAAAACTCAATTGACGCAGAATGAATTTTTCTTTCAGAAAACTCATTCCCAAGCTGCAGATTTATATTTAGTAGATAAATATCTGGTTTTTTTTTTTAAAGTTGGTAAAATTAGTCGGTTGTTATCGTGGTGTTCGGCCACAACATCACTACAGAACCAGATTATTACGTAGTGGTACTCATTACACACATAATTTAATGAGCTTTAATTTTATGAAGTTACTGTTTTACAAGAATTCACCTTTCAGTAGTTGTATACGAAAGACTAAAACGTGATCTAAAATTTAGAAATATTTCAACTACACACACAAATTTCAATTTATAAGCTAGAAACCAGTTTGTTGTAATTCCAGTTTTGATCAGAAAATTCTCGAAGTACATACTGTCTTGAAGATTATGTTTACGCAGTTACACAGGCGGATCTACGGGTATAGAGGAGTATTTCGGGCTAAAGCCTTCCTCACCCATCAAAATAAGTAAATTATAACCACGAATTATCAAAAAATTATCTCTAAAAAGATTATTGTTCGTGTAATTACATTTAACAGGAGTTCAATAATCATTTAAACACCATTTCATATAGTTAGTGAGTTTCTTTCTTTTTCTTTCAAAGTAATTATAGTTATAAATATATAAAAAAAAAGAAAACTTTCGGGCTGAAGTCCTCCTCCCAAAAATTAAATCCTGGATCCACTAGTGCGAAGTTATGTGTTTGGATGTATATCGTCGACACAATGTAAATACATAAAATAAGTTTTACTATTTTAACAGCTAAATATGTGAATAACATTTTATAGTAGCAATAATAATATAAACATAATGATGCTGCATTGATAAGATAGTTTATCTGAGTCAATCTGAAAACAGACAGCACTGCAAATGGGGTCCCGGACTAGTTCAATAGGAGAAAGCAGGAATAAGCAGTACCCTTCTAGCCTCTCCCAACCCCTCCTTTCCAATTGTAGCAAAACCGCTTCTTCTACCCATCTCACTTTCAGGTAACAAACTGGCTGCCATCCATATTTATGAATTGACTGACAAGTAACACAAAGGATGTTCTGAATCTCTTTGTTTAACTTGTCGATATCTTTCAAAAAAAAAAAAAAAAAAGGAAGAACAAGCAATGCACTTGTGTTGCGAACTTATATGATGAAGAATGACAAACAGAGAAAGAATACCTAATTTAAAAGATGCCAGAGCTAAGGTTTAAAGCAAGGGCTATAAACAGTGTGGAGTAACCAGCACTGCATTCTGTCCAGAGTTCTAAAAGAAGAATTTACATCTGTACTCGTATCCTTATCTCATACACGCACTCACTTAGTATTTTATCACAAGTCAATCCTTATGACACGCTCATACTCCGCTTTTTATACTGATGGAATGATTTCAATATTCTCAAACAGTCTCAGTGTCTCTGTATTCTTTTCACTATGTCATAAAAATAAAAAAAATTAAGTAATAACTATTTTTTAAATATTTCATTTATGTAGTCTACACACAAATAATTTCATGTTATTAACAATACTTCAGAAACGATAACTTTTTTAAAGGAAGGAGGTGGTCCGGGGTGGCGTTCATAAATAGGCTAAATGGTGGTAAAACTATTTTATTAATGGCTTTTAATAAAATAATTTTACTACTATTTAGCCTATTTATGACCGCTGCCCCGGACCATCTCCTTTCTTAATAATGCAACGGTCAAATATTAAATATTCAAGATAACTTTTTTCTAGAACGGGTTTATTTTTGAGGCTCCACCAAGAAAATTTAAAAAAACAGAAATTTAAAAAGATTCTCGTCTTAATAAAAAAAAAAAAAAAGAAGAAAGATATAGGAGCCCCTTAGTAAGTGGGACTTGGGGCGCACCGTCCCTTCTAGGTACGCCATTGCACAGGCGGATTTACGGGGGAGGGAGCTTTCGGGCTGAAGCCCCTCCCCTCCCCGAAAATGGTAAAATGTAACCATGTTTTATGGTAAAAAATATTTAAAAATTATGTCTTAAAGTATTAT